TCAAGTTCCTCCACCCCAAACTGCCCCATCCATGTCTTTATGGACCTTGCTTTGTGCACTGGTGCGCAGTCATGCTGGAACAGGAAGGGGCCGCCCCCAAACTGTTCCCACAAAGTTGGGAGCATGAAATTGTCCAAAATGTCTTGGTAAGCTGATGCCTTAAGAGTTCCCTTCACTGGAACTAAGGGGCCAAGCCCAACCCCTGAAAAACCACCCCACCCATAATCCCCTTCCACCAAACTTTATGACAATGCAGTCAGGCAAGTACCGTTCTCCTGGCAACCGCCAAACCCAGACACGCCCATCGGATTGCCAGAGAAGCGTGATTGGTCACTCCAGAGAACTCGTCTCCAGTGGCGGTGTGCTTTACACCACGGCATCCCACGCTTTGCATTGCACTTGGTGATGTAAGGCTTGGATGCAGCTGCTCGGCCATGGAAACCCATTCCATGAAGCTCTCTACGCACTGTTGTTGTGCCAATCTGAAGGCCACACCAAGTTTGGAGGTCTGTAGCTATTGACTCTGCAGACAGTTGGCGACTTCTGCGCACTGTGTGCTTCAGCATGCGCTGACCCCGCTTTGTCATTTTACGTGGCCTACCACTTTGTGGCTGAGTTGCTGTTGTTCCCAGTCTCTTCCACTTTGTTATAATCCCAGTAACAGGTGACCGCGGAATATTTAGCAGCCAGGAAATGTCACGGAACACCTGAATCCAATGATTTGGCGGGGCGTCCCAATACTTTTGGCAATATAGTGTATACACATATCTTGAAACCGGTTTATCTGTTTTGTAATTGTGTTATTGCAGATCAATATGTATTCATTCATGTTTATGCATTATATAATAATGAGTCCTTGTTTCTCAGTAAATGCAGAAGGGGTTGTGACCGGCGCGGTCTCTTTGCTTGTGTAATTAAATATATAAAGGATACCCGCTCCCCTAATTTGCATAGCATTGTCACCGTGGAGACCGAAGCAATAATATCCGATCAAAACATCCTCTCATTCCGCTCCGGTGACTCTAATTTGAATAAAAGTATTCTGTATCATGCGAGCCAGATCGCAGCATTGTAGAGAGCAAATGGGAGCAATGCTGCCGCAGAGTCAGCTGTGGAAAATTGGAGGTTTTGGCTCCTTCTGCTTTGATTTCCAATTCTTTAGCTGCAATCTGCACTGTATCGCAAGCTCTTTTACTTGCTGCTGTGGGTCTTTTAAAATTAGAGGTCCCCTTTAAGTTTTTTGCCTTGGCGCATGGTGATTGTAGCACAGGCCACCTGTGCCATGCCTTGCAGATGAGTCACACTGTGAATCCCACTGATGATTCTGCTGCATTTTGGGCTGTCAGAGGTGGCCCCTCCTGTGTGTGTGTCTGGAATGCACCCCTCCCTTCTCCCAGCCTGGAGCTGTCAGTGTTAGCCCCGCCCGCTACTGCAGAGGGGGAGGAGACACTGCGAACATAACCCAGACACACAAGATTAACCCCTTCCTAGCCGAAATCACACTGATGTGGGTCTGGGATGATGCAGATCTGCCAATAAAAGGCTACAGAGGAAATATTCAGGTTGCTTGTTCAGAATGTATCATTTCACAATAAAAATATTTATTTAGCTCCAGGTAAAAGATAGCGGGACGCTAAAATATCTCCAACTCATAAGAATAAACCGCATATGAGCCAGTGCAATTATGACTGCTCCAATATATTTAAAGGGACACACCATTTAATAATATTTTGGTTATAACGGGCTGAATCACCCGCTGGCTTCCTGTATCCCTGGAATGGACACATATTTCATCGTCTTTGCTCCCACAGAGGCTCACTCCAGCTGCTGCAAACTCTATAATGTAAAGTAAATTCAGGGTCTGATATGGGGAGTGAGACACCATCACAATGTCGGTGGGTGGAGCCTTTTATTTTTTGTTACACTAAACTTTTTTCAACCTGACTTTCTGTGTAACTATGTAACAGTGTGCAGTATACATCGAGGGGGAGTGTGCACTACCTTCCACACAACTGTCACTCCTCCTCATAAGTATAGGCATCACCCCTGATACTTCTCCTTCCAGCTACAGTCACAACTGTCACCCCCCTTCCCAGGTATTGGTGGTCACTCCTTCCAAGAAATGATAGTCACACCTGGGACTTCGGGGTCAGGTATAGACAACCATAGCTCTTATGGCAGCCAGTTTCATCTGCCATTCCTCCTTCCAGCTTTAGATAGCCAAAGCTGCCACTCATCTTCCCAAACATTGTCAGTCACACCTTTGAATTCTTCTTTCAGGTATAGGCTGTCACACCTGTCACTCCTCCTCCATGGTATAGGCTGTCACACCTGTCACTCCTCCTGCCTGGTATTGGCTGTCACACCTGTCATTCCTCCTCCCAGGTCTGTCTAACCTGTTAGTCCTTTCTGGTATTGGCTGTCTTACCTGTCACTCCTCCTCCCAGGTCTGTAACTTGTCACTCCTCTCTAGTATTGGCTGCCCCATCTATCAATCCTCTTCCTCGATATTTGCAGTCACACCTGTCAGCTCCTCCTCCCAGCTATTGGCTGTCACACCTGATACTCCTCCACCCAGGTCTACCTTACCTGTCACTCCTCCTCCCAGGTATTGGCTGTCTTACCTGTCACTGCTCCTCCCAGCCCCAGGTCTGTCTCACCTGTCACTTCTCCTCCCCGGTCTGTCTCACCTGTCACTCCTCCTTCCTGGTATTGGCTGTCTCACCTGTCACTCCTCTTCCCAGATATTTGCAGTCACTCCTCCTCCTAGGTCTGTCACACCTGTCACTCCTCCTCCCAGGTTTTGGTTGTCACACCTGTCACTCCTCCTCCCAGGTCTGCCTCACCTGTCACTCCTCCCCCTCCCGGGCACACCCCCTCCTACCTGCAGAGCTGGATCCCCGGGCTCACTGAGTACCTGCACCTCCCAAACTCACAGCCAACTCGTAGGAGACTCTGAGAAAGACCTCATCCCCGGGGTCCCTGCATTTGACACTGACACCCTGAGGAAGCCAGGAGACAATGAGCTCCCTGTTCAAGAAACGGACCACTGCCAAGTTCAGCCCGAATGCTGCGCAGCCCAAAGTGTGAGTACTCATCGGACTGTATGTATGCGATCTAGACCGATGTATGACGATCCTTCTCTACTCTACTGTATATGTTATGAGTAGTGTCTGCCCCTATGGGCATCGCCATGTACTGATCACTGGGATAGATATTGTCAGCGATCTTCTGTAGTGCTCTAATTCTGTAATATACATCATGTGTATCTCTAACATTTACTCAGTATACTGTGTGCCAGCTCTACAATATGTACTGTGCTCCCATTATACTATACTCTATAAATTGCAAATAGTGTTATGACTATGTACTGTGCTTGATGTACATACAGTCTGGTGTGGACTATACTGCTCCCTATGCAGCATGCATAGAGCATTATAGCAGTACAGTGTTCTGTATATAAAAGTTTCTTAATGTAATGTCCCACACCTACAATATGTGCATATAGTCAGCCCTGTACTGTGCACAACCTTCTGCAGACTCCTAGTCTACTATACAGGAACTTTTATTGCTGCTGCAAACCTAGCTGGATGCTAACTGTCATCTGCTGGACTAACTGGCTATTTCCCCCCCACCATCCCCACTCAAAATAATAGTAATCATATTACTTGTATTCTTTTAGATAATGTCTTGTTCTTTGCTGAGCTGATGACTTCTGGGTTTTAGCTGCCTTAAAATACATTGGATGCTTACAGCAAAGAGATCCAACAGATTATTACTGTGCGAAGATCCAGTATCAAGATAGTGGGGCTAAGATCTCCAACAATATTACTGCAAAAAAGATTTGGTGGATTATTATTCATACCTGGAGATACTGCAGATTACTAGTATACAGAGATCCAGTATCAAGAAAGTGGGGCTAAGATCTATTCTAGAACAATATAGCTGCAAGAAAGACTGAGTGGTTTATTATTGCCTGGAGATCCATCAGATTACTAGTATACAGAGAACCAGTATCAAGAAAGTGGGGCTAAGATCTATTCTAGAACAATATAACTGCAAGAAAGACTGAGTGGTTTATTATTACCTGGAGATCCTTCAGATTAATACTGTACAGAGAGCCAGCATTTAGGAAGTAGATTCATACTGAGATCTAGAACTGTATTTAGTAATTGTATATAGATCCAATGCATTGTTACTGCAGAGGGATCTAATTCAGTATTACCAGAGAAATCAAATTCATTGTTGCTACAGAATGATCCAGTATAGTGTTACTGCATAGAGATGTAGTGCATTGTTACTCCACAAAGATCCAGTGGATCCCATTCATACAGAGATATAGTGAGGGCCATTCACACAGATATCTTGCAGATTCAAGCTCTTACAACATCTACTGGACCATGGTAAACACACACAAGCTGTGAGAGTTTAATTTGTGCATTGTTCATATTATTTCTTTAATAATGTTTTTTTTTCTATTATTATTTTGCGCTATGTGCAGAGATTTATTAGATTCAGTGTTTTGTTTCACTAGGTGTGATGGTTTTCTGTGGCCCAGTATTGGTGCTCATGTTCCCTGCTAATTATATAGTTTCATTCTTGCCACTCTGTAACGCATGGTGGTGATGTTACTGTAATGGATGTAAGCTCTGTTGTACACATTAGTGGAATTGTGAGCCATGGGTCAGCTTGGTGGAATGTGTCTTCCCCTCCAGGTCTGTGTATTCTTGGAGTGTGTTGCGTTTACCTCCCCCCCCTTCCTCCGCACCTGTCACCCCCTCCCATCCACCATAGATGCTCTGACCATTCATAAAATTCCTGGCTGTAGTCTATTACAGGCCAGTCATAAACAGAATAAACATTTGGGTACAGTCTCATAATCTGGCTATTTTTGGCTGGAAGATCTGGTGCCTATGAAGCATTTGCTGCTGAACAAGGCTCAATGGAGAGAAATGCAATTGGACAAGTTGATAAATCTTATCCATTTGCTGATGTTGTCACCCTGATAAGCCCATGATGACATTTTTTGTAATTCTTCCCTTCGGTTTTCATAAGTCCAATGGCACCTTTCTTGGAGAAGCTCTGGAGAACAGAGACCCAGGGGTAGTAGTAGTATCATACCTGTCCTGTATGGCCCATTTAGTATCATACCTGTCCTGTATGGCCCATTTGTATGAAGTGAAAGGATGAGAGATCCAAGCCATAGGAACTGGTCTAGATATGATTTTTTTATTGGTCGTGGAAAAAAAAAAAGTGTTGACAGCAAATGCATTTTGGGGGTTAAGCAAAAATCCCCCTTAATCAGGATGTAGATTTAAATTAAGTGAGTGAGCTTCTAACTATAAAATTAAAATCTAGGACCAGCCACCTGTCCAGATTCCTTTACCACAATACATCCAAGCCCCAATGAAGGAACCCTGAAACGTGTTTGAATCTGTCAAGGTGATCTTCCTAGGGACCCTCCTAAGCCCCTCTTCTGCTTGAGGCTCCACCAAGCAGAAGAGGGCTGCCCCACTACAGCAATTACTTGATTTATGTGGAACTATCTCCAGGCTTGGAGTCCAACTTTCCACCTCCTGGATCCCAGTATGATCCATGGCCAGGTTTGAGGGCAGTCGCACATGCAGTAAGGCTATGAAAGGGTGCATACCTGCTGGAGCAGCTTGGTAGTATTGCTGCATGAAGACAGGATGGGGGCAGTGTGAGAGATGGCATCAGCTTATCAGTAGGAACAATAGCTATCAGGGAAGGTTATTTTTAATTCAACAACATTATTGTTTTTCTTCAGGGGGCAGTTGTTCGGGGTTCTCATAGATTCAATTGTCAAATGGTCTCATGGCCAAATTCTCACCCAATTGGCCAGCTTAAAAGACTTTCATCTCATGCCTTTGGGTATCTTGGTGGTCGCCATAGATGGAACGATTTATTATCTAATCCGAGATCCGAGGTGGATGCTAAAAATACACTGTGTGCAGATGTTAAAGTGACATTAAACCCTCAGATTTTTTTTAACATAAACCAATACTGTAATGTGGGCCTTACTGTAATCCATGGTAGTTTCCCTTCTCTTTGCTGCTCTTCCTTTTAAATCATCATGCTTGGGGAGAACTTCCCTTTGCAGCTCAGGGCCTGTAGTGCTGGCTCAGGTTACAAACCTATACAAACCTATACACAGACACCATGTATCCATTCCTGAGACAAGGCAGTCTGCTGTAAAACAGAAGTTCTGCCCAGCATGAGAACAGATACAGATTTAAAAGGAAGAGCAGCAAAGAGAAGGGAAACAACCATGGATTACAGTAAGGCGCACATTACAGTATTGTTTTATGTTAAAAAATCTGAGGGTTTAATGTCACTTTAAACGCTGGTAACGTTTCACTTTAACAATGGTCTGCCAAATAGGATTTCCTTTCATGTAGGAGAATCAGTTGTATGCCATATTTGACAGCTTATCAGATTTCTGTTATTGTTTTTGTACATAGACTGAACCAATGGTTGGGAGAGTCTATTGGATCTTTGACAAATCAGATGGCAAATTGCACAATCTATATCCAGCCTTATCGACAAAAGCAACACACAATGTTCTAAAGTGTTGTTTCTGTTTCAATTATGGATAAAGAGGGGAAGTGTTGGGTCCTTTGTCAGGTTTTATTGTTGTCTGAGTCAGATTTTCCTCTCACTTCCTGTAATGAGATGATGTTAGTACAAATGTGAAATTATTAAAATATTAAAAGTTATTGCTCTTTGTACATAGTTAGTACAGCTCCATCCCCTTACTATATAAACCCCCAATTCCGATTTTCCATATGTAGATTGTATAAATGAAACTCAACATGTGTATAGTTGCTGAGCTACACAGACACTCCATGTTCCTCCAGTAATTGGCCGTCTGTTTCAGTGATGATAGTAATACTACATTTACTGGGCACCTACAATATAGCAAGGCGCTATAAAATGTAACCCTTGATTAGGATATCCATTGGAAAATGTAACAATTATTTGAAGTAACCACTGGAAGATGTAACAATCAATTGGCATATTATTGGAAAATTTAACCATTCATTAGAAAATGTAACAATTGATTGGAATATGTAACAGTTGATTTAAGATATCCATTGGAATATGTGACAGTTGATTAGGATATCCACTGGAACATGTGACAGTTGATTAGGATATCCACTGGAACATGTGACAGTTGATTAGGATATCCATTGGAACATGTGACAGTTGATTAGGATATGCATTGGAACATGTGACAGTTGATTAGGATATGCATTGGAACATGTGACAGTTGATTAGGATATCCATTGGAACGTGTGACAGTTGATTAGGATATGCATTGGAAGGTGTGACAGTTGATTAGGATATGCATTGGAACGTGTGACAGTTGATTAGGATATGCATTGCAGTGTGTGACAGTTGATTAGGACATGCAGTGTAATATGTGACAGTTGATTAGGACATGCATTGTAATATGTGACAGTTGATTAGGATATGCATTGGAATATGTGACAGTTGATTAGGATATGCATTGGAATGTGTGACAGTTGATTAGGACATACATTGTAATATGTGACAGTTGATTAGGACATGCATTGGAACATGTGACAGTTGATTAGGATATGCATTGGAATATGTGACAGTTGATTAGGATATGCATTGTAACATGTGACAGTTGATTAGGACATGCATTGGAACATGTGACAGTTGATTAGGACATGCATTGTAATATGTGACAGTTGATTAGGACATGCATTGGAATATGTGACAGTTGATTAGGATATGCATTGGAATATGTGACAGTTGATTAGGATATGCATTGGAATATGTGACAGTTGATTAGGACATGCATTGGAATATGTGACAGTTGATTAGGATATGCATTGGAATATGTGACAGTTGATTAGGATATCCACTGGAAAATATAAAAATTGCTTAGGATATCCATCGGAACTTGTAACCATTGTAGTTTTGTTTCGTTTTTTTGCTCTGTTGGGCTGAGAGTGTCGAAATGTTTCTATTTGCTTTTTTTGTTTTCCTTATACAAAAAGTGTATCACTTCCAAGGAACTGCAAACTAAGTCACA